GAGACAGGACTGAGGGTGGGCAGAGCGGCAGGGGAGCTCCTGTCCTCATGGCCGCTCAGGTCCAAAGCCCCTCTCCCTGCCCTCAGGACTCACCCTGGTGGGAGACGGCAGAGGAGGCGGCGCACAGTCCAGCAGCCCGTGGGCACCAGGACCCTGCCCAGCTGGAGCCCCGAGGCGGGGCCTTTCTCCAGAGGGGCAGGAGCCACAAAGGCTCTGGGGCAGGGGGAGCTTCACTGCGGGGTGGGCTCTGTGGGTTGGGGAGCACTGACCCCCTAGTGCTGTGCAGAGAGCAGGGGTGGGGGACCACAGCCAGACACCCGGGGCGGCTGCTGGGGACGGCGAGGAGGGGCGAGAGCTGCCGAGGGCAGGGTGGGCTGCTGGGGCCGGGCAGGGGGCGATGGGTGGGCCTAAGCCTAGCTTCTGCACGGGGCCCTGGGGTGCCCGTGGTGCAGGGCCTGGGCAGGCTGCCCGGGGTCAGGTGTCAACCGACATCCGAGGGTCAGCAGGGACATCAGGACAGAGGTGGGACCTCCAGCCATGGAAGACCTGTCCTGTCCCTTCCCAAAGAAGGGCGAGGTCACCCTTCCTGATTCTGAATTTCCAGCCTGCCTCTCCAGGGAACCATCTGGGGGCATCCGCAGTACAGAACATTCTAGAACCTCAAATGTGTTCCTGCAGGTTTGAGAAGTCCTTCCAAGTTCCTCCCAGGGCCCGGATCAAAGGCCCCCTTGGTGAAGGGCAGAGGCTGCTTCCCAGGGCCGGGTCCCACGCTTTGCTTCCCCAGAACGCGCCCACTCCTGACCCTGCTTGGGGTGGGGCCGTGGGACTTGAGCCGCGGTCCCGGGGTGCAGAGCTGGGCGGGGATCCTGGGCTCCCTCGTTCTCCTGCAGGGGTGCTCCCCACCCCCAGCGAGGGGGCTCTGTGTCCAGGAAGGGACGGAGCTGGAGCTGGGCTGCCACTGGCCTTGCAGATGGATGGAGAAGGGGAGGTGTACGTGAGAGAGAGGGAGAGGGAGGGAGGGAGGGAGAGGGAGGCCAGCAGCCCAGCCTGGAACCTAATTGTCCGCTGTCTAATCTGTCAGCGAGGACAGCTTGCCGAGCCCCTCCCGGCGGGCTGATAAATGCCGGCCGAGGCCCCAGCGCCAGAGCTGCCTTAATTGGTATCAGGACGTGCCTGGACTCCATCCGCCAGGCCCCTGCCCTCCTCCCCTTCCGCCACCTCCTCCTCCACCCCGTGGGCCTCCATCCCTAGCAGGGCTCACCTGCCACCCACCCTCAGGGAGGTGCAGCAGCTATGGCCCTGGCCCAGGAGGAGGGCGTGAGACCAGTCACTCCCACTCCATCCACGGGGAGCACCTCTGTGTCCCCAGCCACGCTGACAAAGCCCTCTGCTCAGCCAGGCCCATCCGCACACAGCCCTCCAAGGTTGGGGAACCACCCCTCATGCACCCACACACCCTGGAGGTAGCACCTGGGCGAGCAGGGGACACAGGGAGCAGAAGACTCAGGGGGCCTGCTTGACCCCAGGACTTCCCTGAGGCCGGGCAAGAAAGCCTGCTGGGATTTAAGGGTGAGTGTGGCCCAGTTTGGAAAATTCAGAGAGGTTTGGCAGCCCATCTAAGATCACACAGGAAGGAGAGAGTAAGGTGGCCCTCAAAACAACCAAGTGGGCTGGAACGGTGGCCACGCCTGTAATCTCAGCAACTCAGGAGGCTGAGGCAGGAAGATCAAGAGTTCAAAGCCAGCCTCATCAACTTAGCAAGGCCCTAGACAACAAGATCCTGCCTCTAAATAAAACATATAAAAAAGGGCTGGGGATGTGGCTCAGTAGCTGAGCACCTCTAGGTGCAATTCAATTTTTTCAACTGAATTGAAAAATTTTTTCAGTTTTTCAAAAACAAAAACAAAACTACATGATTGGTTCCCCATGTCACGGGCATCCAGATCCTGAATCTGTGCTAGGGACAGAGAATCTGCACAGACATTGGGATCTTGGCAGGTCATTGGGCCATTTCAGACCCTGATGGGTGGACTCTCCATTGTCCCTGAGGTTGGAGACTCAAGAAGGAGACATTTCATGCATCTGTCCATCCGTCCATCCATCATGTACAGAGCAACTGCCCTATGCTGAGCCTCATTCTGGAGGCCGGCAAGACAGGCGGCATGATTCGGGGCCTTGTGCAAAAGAAAAATGTTGGGGTGTCCCTTGTTGAAGAAGCATCACTGAAAATTTGAAGGTGGCTTGCCCGCCAGGCCAGCCCGCTACTGCGCCCACTATGCTGGACAAGAGCCGACCACAGCCCAGAGCCGGTCCTGATATGGTGCTGTTTCAGAACTGGAATCCAGGCTTCAGCCCAGGATCTGAAACCCGGAGGCTGACCTGACCGCTGGGCAGGGGGCTGTTTGAGGTCCCTCCTCCCCATGAACGTCTGCACACTGTACTGCAGGGTCACCAGCGCTGGATCATGGGTGCCCCGACCTGCAGGGCTGCCACCTGTGTCAGCCATGTGCTCCTCTCCACCACCTGAAAGAAGGAACCCGGTCCCAAGTTCCTCCTGCCTAGGGGTTAGGGGGTCTGTGCTGTGTTTCAGCCTGGCTGGGGACTTCCTGTCATCCAAAGAGGGCATGGGAGGCACTGGCCTGAGGTTGCCGGGCCAGGGGCGAGATGCTCCGTGCGGGGAGGGCCCAGGTGGGGCGCCCCCTCCTGCTCCCTGAGATGCTCCGTTTCATGTTGCAGGGATTCGGTGGTTTTCTGTATTTTCTGCGGCGCTGGGCTGGGCCCCCAGACCTCAAGCTGCTAGGCCAGCGCTCCACCCCCGAGCCGAGCCCCAGCCCCCAGGAGCTTTCTTTGTTTGGGGCACCAGGGATTGAACCCAGGGGTGCTTCACCACCAAGCCACACCCGGCCCTTTTTGGTTTTTATTTAGAGACAGGATCTTGCTAATTCGCCCAGGCTGGTCTCAAACCTGACCCTCCTGCCTCAGCCTCCCCATCTGCTGGGATCCCAGGTGGGCACCACCGCGCCCGGCCAGGGCAGCTTTCTTAAAAAGAGAAAAGAAAATAGCTCATTGGTGGGGAATGGAATGGGCGCTTATTAATAATAACAATAAGGCACAAGAAGAAAGCAACGACCCCACGCCCGCTCCCTCTGAAGGAACGGGCGGCTGCTGAGTGGGACTGCCCTGACAGACATATAGATCCTGCTCCACCCAGGCTCTCCGCCTGCACTTCCCCCCTCGCCGAGCAAGGCCAGGGCTTCCCGCCCCTCACCAGCTCCAGCGGCCCCTAGTGCGCAGCGGCCAGGTCTGCGGACCCCACCCCTGGGCCTCCAGCTGGCCCCGCGCTCAGCCTCACCAGACCCTGCAGCTGGGGCAGGCAGGGAGCCCTGCGGCCACTTCGGCCCTCCGGTGGCCCCTCCTGGCTCCTCACGGTCCACCCTCCTAAGACACCCGCGAGGCCTCTGGCGCTCTTCTCAGCTGGGGAAGCGCTGGACCGGGCACCCTAATCACTTGAGCTTCCTCTGATTTGCATGTCCTTAAGGCGCCTTGATTAGCACCCCTTCCCAGGCGCCCCGCTCCAGCCACCAAGGCTCTGATTGCAAAGTGGCCTCAACCCCTTTAAAAGTAAAACACGCCCCCCCACGAGTGTCGCCCTGCTTCCCTGAACACTAAGAGATCCGGACACGTCCCCCAGGAGCCTGCAGCTCAGAAACATTAGGAACTTCTGGAAGGAATCGGGCCGTTCCCCAGCTGGCAGGCCGCGGTCTTTTCCTGGTACTGATATTTACTGGCTGCTCTTCGGGCTGGCGGGAGACCTCAGGGCGGTGGTTGGAGGTGCCCATCATCTCCTTCATAGGAAGGAAACTGAGCTCAGAGAGGGTAAGCCATCTGCTCAGAGTCACCCAGCAGACATTCAGCTCAGCGGGTGCTGGAGACCTTTGACTACCTTTGCCGCTCCTCTGCCTTGCTAAGAGCAGACTGGGCCTTGAGCTGGGGCCCCAGAAGGTCGAGGCTGACAAGAGCAGACACACTGGGCAGGGCGGCCATGACTGTCAGCCCTGGATGTCCTTTGCGTCGAAGAAGCCAGGCTTCACCCCTGGGAAGAGGACCCAGGTTCCCCTCGGCCGCACCCCAGCTATGTGATCTTGGTATCCAGGGGGTGGAGATAGCGCTGCTGGCTCTGGTGGCAACGGCCGCGGGAACTTTCCGTGTGACACGTGGTCCATGGTGAGACCACAAGGCACCTTTGCATTTCCGTCTAATCCTGGTGCCCGCCAGCCCTGAGGGGACTCTGCTCCTCTCCCCGCCCCGAGGCTCCTCAGGGCTCTGCGGGGGCAGGCTGGCTCCTGGCTCAGCTCTCCGCCCTCCCGTCCTCTGAGCCACCCGGCCCTCCCTTCCCTGCCTGCGCAGCTCCGGGCTTCTCCTGGGCCCGCTGCCTGGAGCTGCGGGTGGAGTGTGGCCCCTGTGCGGCAGGGTGCTGGCCGTCCCGCTCCCTGGTCCAGCGGCTCCCCCAGCCCCTCCTGCTCGCGCTCCCAGGTTCCTCTCCCAGGCTGCTGGATGCCGGGGTCCCCGGGGCCTTCTGCTGTCCCCTGCTATCCCTGGCCCTCTCCCTGTTTGCTGGGATGACCATCCGTCTGGCTGGAGGTGGCTGTCCCTGGCAGGGGCCTGCAAGCCGCTGGGCCTGGAGGCTGGGACGCACACACACGGCTGGCCGGCCGGGAAGGCGCCCTCACGCCTCTGGAACGCAGTGTGCTCCTGGGAGTGGGGACACCCTGCGCAGGAGGTAGGGCAGGCGCGGCAGAGGCCCAGCAGGCTGAGAAGGTCCTCCCAGGGCCAGGCCTTTGGGGCCAAAGTGCAGTCACCTGGAACGGCTCTGCCTGGGCCAGCCGCCCAGGCCCCTGGCCCCCGCCACTGCCTGTCCCCTCAGGGCCTGCTGTGAGCGAGTTGGGGGCTCCCAGGCAGGCGCCCAAAGACCCGTGTGATTTCCAGAAAAAAATGTGGGATAACAAGGATGCCAATTTTTTATTTTGCAAAGGAAGGATGGGAACAAAACCAGAATAAAAAATGTTAAATCCCATCATGGATGATCATTTCATGAAGTAAGTTACATTCTGAAATTCCCACAATATGAAGGACATGGTCTTAGGATGAAGGAACATCCTCCTCCAAAAGAGCACTGGGGACCTCACACTGTCCCTCATGCTGGAGACATGGCAAGGACTTGCCACCAGGCACAGGTCCCTAGAGGAGGATCCAGGCAACTCCAGCTTCCTGCTCTCCCAGTCTTAGTGTCTGGCTTTTGTCCACACAGTGCTAATATGGCTGCCCCGTCTTGAGTCATCACGTCCACATTCCAGGCAAGGAGAAGAAGGGTATAGTGAAGTATATTTTCCTTGAAATCCTTGCCTTTTAATTCAGAAAGAAAAAAACTTCCTTGAATCCTTTCACACATTGGCCAGAACTGGGTTACATTCTAGGTGCAAGGGAAGCTGGGAAATCCAGGGACAAGCGGGTGGGAATGTGGTTTTCTGCAAAGTCTCAGCTGTGTGCTGACGGTGGCTACCTTCAAAGTCAGTGGCATCTCCACCCCCCAGCACCTGCCTGATGTCCGGGGCAGGCTGACTCATTGCAGCCACCCTCCGGTGTGTGTGAGGATCCCCAGGCCCCAGCTGCTCCATTCTCCAGGCGGCCCCCCACTTCAGCAGGCCTAGGGGTGCTTCCCAACTGCTGTCAGGCCTCTGGTGGGAAAGCTGCTGGGTTGACGGTGCCCAGAGGCATGGCCAGACGAAAAGCCAGGGCCTGGCTTAAAGCGAACCTGCAGAAACAGTGAACAGGTCTTCCCTGTGAACGTTGTCCGTCGCTTATGAGAAACGCAGATCCACCTGGCGCCCAATAGTTTTATTCGTTAAAACTCGCCACGACTCCTAGGGCCTCTGGATCTGTAGCTAGGGGGTAAGGGGGGACTTTAAGAGCAGGTGCCCGTCTAGAATGGTCCCACTGTGTGGCCTTGGGAGCATCCCTCCGTCTCTGAGTCCATGTCTCCATCTCTGGAGGCGGCCCCTCCCTTGGGAGCTCTGGAGCTCCAAATGATGGAGATCCCATTTGAACTTGGTGCAGCTTGGCCTTGAAGCCTGGTGGCCCAGGACCCGGGCTGAGGCACAGGGAGCACCCAGGACCCGGGCTGAGGCACAGGGAGCCGCGCTCTCAGACTGAGCTGTGCTGACGCGGGGGTTCACAGGTCAGAGTGTGGGAGAGCAGCGGGCTGGGTGCACTCAGTGGGAGAGCAGCGCGGGCCATGCCCAGCAGCACAGGCCCTGGGTTCCTCCTCCAGGACGGAAAGGAACAGAGGAGCAAAAACACAACAAACAAACACAGGGTTTCTGTGACGTCTCAGGTTGGGTTGGGGACAGAATGGGGTGAACACCGGCCTGATCCTGACTCTTCCTGGCCAGGAGCCTTTGTCCAGAGACTGCCCAGGAAGTCTGTGCCCACTCTCTCACGTGTGGGGCAGGTGGCCCCACACAGCCAGTGGGTGCCCCAAGACTTTGCTTCTGCACCTCGCACCAGCAGCCAGCTCCCCTTGTCCGCCTGAGCAGGGGAGCCCCCTCCCGCTGGCACCTGGGTGATCCTGTTATCGCCGGCCATCAGCCAGAGCCCAGCTGGGGACAGGAGGTGGGGGCGGGGCAGTGACTGTGAACAGGGGTGGCCCTCCCCCATTCCTCCGGGCCTCACCTGGGCACAGCAGGAGAACCTGACTCTCCCACGGACCCCTCCCAGCCGGCTGAGACAGGTCAGCTGTCCCCTGCGTTCCGGCTGCCACCGTGCCTGAGCCGGAGGAAGACAGGCAGCTCGGATTCCCGGGTCGGGGCAGTTAGAGGTCGGGGTGGGGACAGCGCTGGCCGCTGCCTGAAAGCCGCCCCTGTGCTCCCTGGCCCACGGAGAGCCTGAGCCGCCGTCCCTGGCTGCGCCCTGCCCTGGGCCTGCCTCCCCCTGTCCCCTCGGCTCCAGCCCCGACGTGGCAGCCTCCTTTGGGCGCAGAACAAGCAGATCCCCAGAGCTGGTGTGGAGCGCGCGGGGTGCCGGCAGCGGCCAGGTGCTTGCTTGCACGCTGTGCACGCAGGCGTGCATCGTGTGCGTGTGCACACGCGTGTGCCCGCGCGTGCGTGTGAGCGGGCGCGCGGGGCGGGGGCGTTGCGGGCGCCGCTGATCAACAGCCGGGAGCGGGGCGGGCGGGAGCGGGGCGGCTGCTGGCAGGCGCGCAAGAAGCTGTCCCCGGCCGCCAGCCGCTGTCGCAGCCCGGGAGGGAGGGAGCGCGGCGGGCGGGGGAGGGCGAGCGTTCGCTTCAGCCCTTAATCACGGAATTTGAAATCCCAGCGAGTCGGTGCCATTTATTTTCCGGGGCTGTCAAGGCTGGTTTCAGCGTTTAAAAGGAAGGAGGATGAACAGCATTTGCGTCTCCCTTCCGCGGCCGCCCGTCGCCCGTCCCGTCGCCCCCTCGCTCCGCTCGGCCCAGGCGGCGTGGGGGAGGCGGCCGAGGGCTGGAGGCCGGGCCCCAGGCGAGGGCGTCGGGGCGCTTCTGGGGCGGGGACCAATGTGGCCTAAGCGGCTCTGGTGGCAGAGGGACGGGCTGGCTGCTGGGGGAGGCCTGGGGCTCCCAGACTTTACCCCAGGAAGCGGCCCTGGACCCAAAGCTGCCCCAGCCCCAGGAGACCCACATCAACGCCCCCAAGCCTAGAATGCTGGGCCCCGAGGGCAGAAAGGGCACCCCCCGGGGACAAACGCTCTCTGGGCACACAGGGAAACTGAGGCCCGGTCACTGGCCAAGGTCACATAGCAGCAGGACCAGGATAAGAGGGGCAGCCTGGCACCTGGGCTGGGTAAGGGACCTCTGCCACCAAGCACCGACCTGCGTCTCAGGCACAGTGACCTTGCCCACTGTCCCGTCTTGTCTTCCCACTGGGATCCAGCCTGTGCCCTGCGGGGCACACCTGCTTTCCTCACCTGCTGTCCCCCTTGCTCCTGGGGACGACTAGGGTGGCTACAGGATCTCTCCCTGAAGTCTGCAGTTGAGGCTGGACCCCAGGGCCCTCTCTCAGATTCGGTTTCCTCTGTGGAATGAGAACTGGAACTACCAGCCAGGCCTGACAGGGACGTCCCGCAGGTGCAGTCCTGGTGGAGAGGCCCGCGCACGAGGGGCTCCCCGGCTGTTGCGATTGTTTTGTCATTTTGTCATTGTGACCGTGTGCCCACCCCTTCCATTCCACAGATTCCGGGCGTCTCCAGAACCTTGCCCAGACCATCTCAGAATGCCTCCTGGCCCCGACTCAGCACAGTCACACTGGAACACCCAGGTGGGGCCTTGTGCTGGCGAAGACGGAAAGGCAAATATTGGGAGAGGAAAAAAGAACCCCTGGCCCTGTTGACAACACTTCCTACTTGTGCCTGAAGTGTGGCTGATATTTTCTGTCCTTACAGATGCTTATAAAAACTTCTGTTAAAGTCAACTAATACTATGTGTCCAGTTTGGCAATTCATTCCACCTCCTTTTTGTGGCTGTATAGTATTCTGTGAAACACATGTACCTACAATCAGTTATCCAGTCCCCAATAGATGAGCATACAGGTTTGTGTCCAGTTTTGCCCTCTGTCCTCAGGGCTGCAGAAGACAAACTGACCTCATACAGCAGGCATCATTATTGCCATCAAGGGGTCCCTGCACTGAGAAGCACCAAGGGGTCAGGAGTTGGTTGGGCACCTCTAGGAGGCTCCATCCCCTCTAGAGGGAAAAGCAGGTTAGGCCCTGACGGAGCCAGAGCTGGGTGAGGGAAATGGCCTCAGGGAAACTGGCACCCAGGGACCTAATCCTCATTCTCCGGGGTAGGAAGCCGCTGCCTGACCACTGGGGCCCAGAGATGTCCAGGGCTCAGGGAACAGGATGCAGTCAGGGCTTCCCCAGTGGGCCCAGTCTGTGGACTCAGGAGCTCCCTCCTGGTGCCCCTCCGTGCCTTCTGTGGCCCCTGGTCCCTGCCTCCTTCTGGGGGGGGGGTTCACACCCTCAGATGGAGCCTAAGCCAACAGCAGGGAGGGGCCTGGGGCCCCCTCCCCACCGTGGCTCCCAGGTGGCTTGGAGTCAGGCACCAGTTACAGCTGCCCCATTCCACGTACCAACGCCTGGGGCCTCAGTTTCCCAATCTGTAATAACAACATCTGTCCCCCAGGGGCGTGTGAAGACTCGCAGGGGCCTGCGGGTTCTCAGGCAAGGCTGGCTGGTCCTCAGCCCTTTCACTATTTCACTCTTTTTTTTTTTGAGCTGAGGTCTCTACGTCACTCAAGCTGGCCTCCAACTCCTAGTTCCAGGATCCTCCAGCCTCGGCCTCCCGAGTGCCTGGGCTGCAGGCGCACCACTCCATCCGGCTTATTACTTTGATTTTCATTCCTAATAATGACTTTTAAAAAATCTGAAGCAAAACAGAACGTCTGTGAGTTGGTGTCTAAACCAGGGGGAGCTGTGGCAGCGTGTGTGCGCGTGGTTGGGAGGGTCCCCCCACACCCTTTCCCATGGGCCTCTGCTCCCTGCTCAGAATTCCCCCACTCCCTCAGCCCCTGGACTGTGTCCCTGTGTCTGAGAATCACCCTCACACCCGTCTTGCCTGTCACTGGAGGAGAGGCATGTGACCTGGCGGCCTGGGAAGAACAGAAAGTCCCCATCTCTGACCACCACCCCATCCAGCCCCAGCCCACAGCCTCCTTGAATGTGGGGTCATGTGGGGCCTTAGTGTCCAGGTCCCACGGTGGCCCACCGAGTCCTGGTCTGTCCCCCCTTAACTATAGGAAATGCTTATAGATGGGGTGATAATGGAAAGGTCGTAAGGTTAAATAGCCAGCTCCTCACACTCTGAAACAGCAAGATGGATGGGTGGCCAGCCACCCGGGGACTGAAGCAGGAGAATCCTTGGGGTGGTCGGTGGAGACTCTCCTGCCCAGCAGTGTCCCTGTGGAAGGAGAGATGGGTTTGTTTCACAGATCCCCGGTTCCCTCACCCACGCTCTGGCAGATGCCCAGTTCTGGGCACAGCGGGCACAGCAGAGCAGAGCTGGGGGCGTGTGGGCTCCCAGGAACGGGCCTCCCACCCCGTGGTGGGAGTGCAACTGTGCTGTGGGCTGGCTCACGGCCCCCCCACCTCGGCTCAAACCATGACATGCTGATATTGTGCAGGCCACGAGGTCCACATCCTCAGCCAGGAGTCCTTTGTCCCAGCCTCTGAGAACAGAGATGCAATGTGAAGAGGACCTTGTGTGCACAGAGAGCCCCGAGGTCCCTGGGCTGCATCTCCGTGCATGCCGCAGTCCAGCTGCAGCAAAATAACCGGGAGGTGACGAGCAACTTGTGTAGATTGATGCAGCAGGAGTGGGAGCCGTTTATTGTAGGACAGGAGGGGTATTTATACATTCCACACAGCTTATCTTAATTAGCATAAACTAGATACAGCAGTCAACCAATAAGGAATCTCCACACTTAATGTCTCGCTGGCGTTACTTCACAAACCACTCCCTCTGCAAAATGCCAGGCGCCATCCTGACTTGTTTACAGACTCTAACAGGTGCACACAGTGAACACTGCAAAGCCTCAGTCTTCTCCATAAGGGGCTGTGGGCCGGGTGCAGTGGCCACACCTGTGATCCCAGCAGCTCGGGAGGCTGAGACAGGAGGATTGCAAGTTCAAAGCCAGCCTCAGCAATGGTGAGGTGCTCAGCAACTCAGTGAGACCCTGTCTCTAAATAAAACACAAAATAGGGCTGGGGATGTGGCTCAGTGGTCTAGAGCCCCTGAGTTTAATCCTAGTACTCCCCCAAAAAAGAAGGGGCTACAGTAAGGAATCGGCGTGGCATGCAAAGCCCCACAGGGTAAGTATTGTGGAAGATGGGTCTCTCTCTCTCTCTCTCTCTCTCTCTCTCTCTCTCTCTCGATGAAACCAGGGCCTCAAGTATGCTAAGCAATGCTCTTCCACAGCCACATCTCAGCCACAGGTGAGCCAAGGTTCCCAGGAATCCCCTGCCCAGGAAGGCTGTACCCCCTCCTACCCCAAGAGCACAGATCTGCACCCACTGCCAGCTGATCAGTGAAGCAGGTGTGGCCATGTGCTGCTGCCCGGCAGAAGTTTTAAGAGCTTGGTGGCAGCTTGACCAGCCCTCTGTCTCTTTTCTGTCTGGTGGATGTTCTGTGTGGGGGGTCTGCTGTCAGACTGGACCCCAGAACAAAGAGGGCATGTGAAGCAGTGTGGTGGGGCTGGAGTGGGAGTAGCCAATGTTAAACCTGAATGAAAATAAACCTTGACTATGGCAAACTACTGGTATTCAGGGGATGTTTGTTATACAGCATAATCTAGCAAAATCTGACTGATACAGACTCTTAGAAGTAGTGGGCTGCAACCACAGACACATAGGGTGGGCTGAGGGGCTGGATACAGTTGACAAAGAAACAGCTACGGAAGGCAGAAAAGATGGCACCCTGTCAGTCACACAGTGGGAAATACTTGGTAAGACTCTTATCTATAAGAATTGCAAAGCCAACATTATTCTGCTCTTGTGGCTTGCGCTGAAGACTTTGGGAAGCAGACTGTGTAGCATGTCTTGGTGGCTATCACTTAGGGATGTAATTGTGTGCCCCTCCCCCCAAGATTCCTACATCGAAGCCCCAACTCCCAGCTCATCGTAATGTGGCTATATTTGGAGACAGAACCTTCAAAGAGGTGATTCAAATGAAATACGATCATGTGGGGGGTCTTAGTCCAATGGGCCTGGCGTCCTCATGAGAAGAGACAACTCGGACAGGCGCACGGGGAGCAGAGAGCAGGGCGACGGGCAGAGAGGCTGGGCCAGGGCCTCCCGGACAGGAGGTGCGTGAGGCCGAAGCCGCCTTGCTGGGGCAGAGAAGGACACTGTGTTCACCAGGCCCCGCAGAGAGAGGAGGCTCCCGGGGAGCCAGTCTGCTCAGGAGAGCAGGGCTGCGAGGGCGAGGGCAGCGGAAGTGTCTGCGTCTGCAGGACTGCCAAGTGCGACTTGTCCCCAAGCCCTCTGTGCCCCCAGGACTCCAGGATGTTCAGAGACACCCTCAGAAGCCCATGTCCTGCAGGCAGCCGGGTGGAGGCCTGCCTCCAGCTGGGAGGAGGGTCTGTGGAGGCTGGGCTGGCGGGAACTCCTCCCCCACTCCCCCAGCTTGGCAGGTGTGGCCCTCCCCAGCCCCACCCCCGCGGCTCCCCACCAGACACCTGCAGAAACCTCTCTGCCAGACCAGCACCTCCCCTGCCCCTTTGGCACTTGGTTGCTTCTGCAAAGTGCAAGTTACAAATGACATTTTAGCAAAACTTCTGACATATTTGCGCTTGGAACACAGGATGTGATCTTGGAGTGGATGAGAGTTTTAAATTTAACTTTGTCTATGTCCTCGGAAACACACTGGGGAGAAGCCTAATGGTGAATTTTAAACTTAGTGTAAAGACTCTTCAAAACAGATAATCCATGGATAGCCCATAAGGAATATTCTAGATTAAGGGGAAATACTAAAACTAGGACACACTCAGTTAGGACTGGATCGCAGGGTGAAGGCCGGGTCAGGGCTGTGACTCTCACACCCTCTGTTAACCGCCCCGTGGGGCTGGGGGCTGGCGCAATGGTGGAGTACCAACAAGCTGCAGGGCCAAGGTCAGGTCCAGGGCTGCATCTCCAGAAAACCCAGGCACTTCTTTACTGTCAAACGCCGGCTGGAAACAAGCAGATGAGAAGCGAGGTTCTGGGGTTACCTCAGTTGGAGGGTTGCACGTGCCAAAAGCTACCATGGGACTCAAATGTCCTGCGACAGTCGACACCTCAAACCACCCTGGGCTCAGGCAGAAGGCACACCCAGAAAGCCAGTCACCGCCCCCAGGGCCTGTTCTCAGGCTCCCCGTCCAATGTGGCCAAGGAGGTAGGATGGCCCAAGAGCCACGGAGCACAGAGGGCGGCTGGGAGCAATTCCGAGAGCTGTGGACCTCATTCCAGAGCCCTCCCTTTGCCAGGGTGGGTGGCCCTCCCCTGCGCCCCACCCACCAGTGGCATCAAAACCCCACAGACTGCGGCTGGAACTCCTCACAGTTCTAGAGGCTGGAAGCCCAAGACCAGGCTCCGCAGGGTTGGCCTCTACAAGTCCCTGCTTGGCCTGCGGAGGCCACCTCACTGCATGTTCACAGTCCCGTCTTTTCTCCTTATTAGGACACCACTGCACTAGGACCCACCCCCAGCTGCCTCGTTTTAATTCAGCGACCTCCTCAAGGTCCTCAGGGTGAGGGCTTCGACCCCCGAGTGGGGCACAGATCAGCCCGAACAGTGTCGAGACCAGAAAACTCTCTCCCCCTCTCCCATTTACAGGTTTCCCATCAAGAGAAGCGAGGGCTGCAGTCATCTGTGGGGTTGTTTGTTAGCAGGGGGCCGGGCTGAAGGTCCACGCAGGTGAGCTTCACGGTCCAGCACCTTGG